TTTATCGTTTAATTTTCACAAAAAGTTTTTAAAAGGTAAAAACTTCTCCATATATAGTCAAAATTTGTTTGGATGTGGGAAAAATCTTGTGACTTTTGCGAACATATGTTCATTACTAAAAAATTTAAATTGAAAAATATGTTTTTTAATATCTAAAAGAATATGAGTCAAGTCTTTGCCCGCATAAAGACCATTAACCTTGTGGGACTTGATTTTTAAAGGTTTTATAGTTATAATTAGTGACATATAAAAATATGTTTTCATATGTGTATATTGATATATTAATTATCAAAATATAACTCGGTACATTATAAAACTTAATTTTAATACGTACTATATTTGAGACAAGAAATATTATAGAAGTTAAAAATTTTAAGGACTTAAAATATACGGAGTATTAGTATTAAAATGTCACTTTTTTGGTAAGTTAGACTTTTTATGATGCCATGACAATTGGTGCCTCGAATTTAAAACAATAGAGTAATGAAACATAGGTATAGTGTACTACTATTTCGTCTCAAAATGATCGAAATATAATTTAATTATGTAAATTGTAAAGGCAAACTTGTACTCCCTCGTCTCAAAATAAAATACAATATGATTATGTAAATAATTGTATACGAAATTTATTTTGGTACCAGAAATCTCATAGAATAAATAGACAGGGAGTTGGCATATAATTTACCAGAGGAACGCCGATGGAAATAGCGGCAAGGACTGCATACTTTGCTCCTTCAAGAAGTGCCTCTACAAATAGTGCGTTAATTATATCATTTAATTAAATACCTATACACCTTAAAAATATTGGTGTACATATATTGGGGAAACTTTTAAAAATAAAATCTAATCCTAAAAAAATTAAAAAACAAAATGTGACATAATTATACTCCGTATTATTTAAAAAAATGATCATTGACGATGGGCCTGTTTGAGAATAGCGTTAGCGATTAGCGTTAGCATTTTGAAAAAGCTATCTACGTGCAGCGTTTAGCGTTAGCGTTTTTAAAGTAATCTGCACCGTTAAAATTTTATCCAAAACGCTAACGCTAATCACTAACGCTATTCCCAAACGGGCCCGATATGTAATGAAAAAAGATATAATTTGACCTACCGATAGTTAATGCAAAATTCATTGAAGGCGGATGGAGTAAAAATCTAAATTAAAAATTATATTTTTTCCAAAATTAAAAAAACATTGCATTCATGTACCTCTGACGACTTCTTGGGCCCTTGTAGAATTTGAGGACGATGCCATTCCTATGTCGAATTGATTTATGTATTTAAACAAAACTCTTGAGAAATTTGCAAATAGTGTTTAAGAGAAATAAAATGAAACACTTTTCCATTGTTTAGTTACTATAATGGTCATAGCCATACACGTATATGAGGCCAACCTGTTTTCTCGACATCTTATAAATAATACTTTAACGTAAACCGAATTTGCATGTCTTCCATTTATTTGTAGGGTTCATATCATCTTATGTCGTGCATTTGATTTGGATCCAAACTTTTTAAGTGATCTAATAATCCATTAATAAATAATTACTTTTAATAATACAAACTTTAAACAGTCAACCAACAATAATCCAAACTTCAGCTCAATGAAGTACACATTTGACTTGAAGTAACTATGGTGGGAGCATGCATTCATATAAGTACTTTTTCAAAGGGACAAAAAAGTAAATGCAGAAAGTGAAATTATAAAATTGTAAAAAAGGCATACTGAGGAAAGCAGAATTCCCAAACTGATAACAAATTGTCTAAGCAACACAATTGTACTCCATTACATGACAACACTTAGTTCAACAAACATTTCCCATAAAAGAGTCTTTAATTTATCAGAAGCTAATCCACTCCCTAGCTGCTAAGCCTTAAGCCACAAGAGTGCTTGCTGTGGTGGATTCACTGCATCATACAAAGGAAGAACACACAATTAATGGTGCTTTGGATAGGGGGTGAGTTGGAATTCTAAGAGTAAATAATGGTAAAAGAGGTATAATGATTAATCCCGTGGCAATAGGAAAATAATGGGTTGTTAATAAAACAAACTATTGAAATTAAATGTACATTTGCGGCATATTTTTGTTCCATAGCGATGAAATTTAAGTAATTATACCCAGGAAGCACACTAATGCTTTAGCACAATTGGGCAGAGCAGTACAAAAAACTGCACTAAATTCATCGACACGAGGATAGACAGGATGTAGGACTCAATAATAGTCAAATCCAAAGACGACAAAACTTACAAATAAGTAAACATGTCATTAAAATTGAAATTATATTAACACATTCCAATTTGGTTAGAACTATACATATAAATGGAACAAAAGTAGACAGCTAAGGAGAGATGAATAGGACTTACTATTTCCACACAGGTGGGAGCTTCTTGGTCTTCTTGTAGTAGCGAGCAAGCCGGTGAATCCTACTCTCCACCAAAATCAGGCGAAACTTGGAGTCCTTGTCTTTCCTGTTCCTTTCCAAATGCTTCCTGATTGCTACGGCCTTCTTGATTAAGTGGTAAAGATCCTCCGGAATCTCAGGAGCAAGCCCTACACCCAAACAAATTTCAACTTGAGCTTTGCAGCAATGATAAACAACAAATGCGAACCTAGAAAACAGGAATCATATATCCTTTTTAAACAAAAAACTTGAAAGCTAGTTAGAAATACTAGGAGCCAGTTTTAAAGAACAAGTTAAGATACAACAATCTCTGAAATTTTAATAACTGCATAATTAGACAGATGAATGTTTATTATATGGACTAAGTTATTTGTACCCCGAGATTTGTACCCCAATTTATACACCACAAGTGTGCACCTTCATTTTATGCCACTGTGATGCAAAACTTTTTTATCGCACTAACATTTTGTGCTAGTATAAACCATCAAAATGCTAGTGTATAGCTTTGGTGTAACTTTGGGGTGCATTTCTTGGTGTAATTGTAGCATGGTTGTTATTATATTCTTCTATTAATACATACTCAATGAAAACTTCCTAGGTTAGGAAACACAGTTTGTTAGTTTCTCTAAAAAAATACTTTTATCTCTTTAAATACAAACATACGATTTTCATCTTATCAAAAGCAAAATTTTACAGTAAAACTATAACCCAGCAGTAAAAAATCTTACAGTACATAGAAACCAGAACTACAAACAGAACAGCAAATGCAACACCAAATTATACCTCAGAAGCTAACAAACTAAATGAGAAAAAAAAATTACCGTGTCCCTTGAGGATGCGAAGAATCTTGCTTCCAGTGACACTCTTCACCTGAGCAATTCCATGGGAATCACGCAGAATGACACCAATCTGAGAGGGAGTCATACCTCTCTTGGCAAACTTACAAATGTTATCTTCCACCTACATCAATTCATTCATTCATTTCATAAATTGAATCATTCAGACACAACAGTCCAGAAACCATCCATCGATTCGGAAACATCGAAATTCATCAAATGCGCAAACCAAAAAAAAAGAGAGATTTCAATAGAAAACTTACATCTTGGGAGGAGACCTTGAGCCAACTGGGAGGAGTTCTCTTGTACGGCGGAGCCGATGCGGACATGCCCTTACTGTTGTTATTGGACAAGCGATTGTTAGATCCATGATCAGATCAGTCGTGCATTCGAATAAACACAGTGAAGAAGGATTGATGGAGTAAACGTACCCTTTGCTGTGCATACGACCCATGGTGGCGGCGGAGTTCGGCAATCGGCAGTTCCGCCTCTATGCCTCTCTCAAAACCCTAGCCAAGCGCTCGGCGACTTCTGTCTTTTTGTCTTTATATTACGCAGATGCCAGATAGCTCACAAAACATTTCTACTCCGTAGTAAGCAAAAAAAACTCAAAATAGGAATAAAACATGCCTAAGAAAATAAAATGAGACCTTGTTATTTTTTAGCATTATTCTTATGTCAAAAAAAGTACTTTATAATGTTAATTATTCCGAATGTCAATGTTGCCGATATCTAATTTAAAAAATACTAGAATTTTAATATACATTGTCACATTATCACAATATAATTGTTCTATTTAACGATAAAAGCATGATACTTTTATTTTGAAGACAATGAATTATATTTTACTCATATTTTAGATTATTTCTTTACTAGTCAATTAGAGAGTATTTTTTGTACTCCGAATTTATTTAAAAATAAACTTTACATATCAAATTTTTTAAATTTCTTTTAGAAAAAATAGAATGACTCAAGACATTTTTCAAATTGCACGTAGTTAAGTTGTAAATTTTTTGGCAGACAAATGAATTTTTGTTCACACATAACTTTTTGTTTATTATTTATTGACCATAATATATGTGAAAGATAGATTAGATACTACCATAGAATTAGATTTCAACTTTATATTCTACTTATTCGCATTTCAAATTCCAAATTATAGAGTCCGGATTTAAATATCCAAGTTTTAATTAAAACTATTATAGCATCTAGACTTCATATTTTGAACTTGAGACTCTAGTATTTTATTATAGACTAGAGATTTTAGTTATCAACCTCTCTAGTTGTTAGATTTCAAATTCGATATGATCACTAAAATCTAGATGGAAATAGCATCAATGAAATTGCTGTTTTTCTTTAAATATAAATATAAATATTTAATGTACTGTTCTATACAAAGTCATAAAATGAAAGCCTATAGCCAAATAATGGGAAGGACAATTTATAAGGGAGGGAGATTTACATTGCATCCAATTGATTTTAACATACCGTAAAGAAAATCAGATATGGTATCATAAATTTGATAAACATGAATGAATACAAGAATATATACGTGGAAACTAAATAAACTAAAATTATATTTGGGTAAATCTTTTTTTCTATACCATGTCAAGAAGGATATATTATTCGTATTTCTAGGAGTGTACATGTATAATATAGATTCACTCATGAAGCTTGAAACTCAAAAAGAAGAGTATGCAAAATGGGAGCATAGAGATGTGAGTAAATTAAGTTGTCTTGCATTGCACGAAAAAAGTAATGACAAATGATATAATGTACCACTATTGTCAATCAAAATGATAATTTAATACAATGCCATTAGCAATAAAAAAAGTGTTATTATTTTCATCCGCTTTTCACCTATTCCACCCATTTCACCCGTGGATGACGTATGGATCAGGTGATGGATGGGCCGGATAACAGAGGGAGAGCGAATGGGTGGAGTTGATCAAAATTCGACTCATTGGCATTCCTACTTCACGCCAAGTTACCATATGCTCAAGAACTTTGTACCATATGTTCAAGATTCTGTACCATTAGAACAAGGGCGACTTTGCCATTTCTAAAGCTCCAACATGTTGCATAAACATGTAATGTCGGGTATGACACCTTTGCCCCGAGTCCTTGTGATGCCATTCCCTACGAGATCGTTCAATATATCATTAGGGTCTTTGGCTCCTCCGTGCTGCAGTAACTTCTCTCTTAGAGCTGAACCTGTTGCTGGTGAGAGTGGATCCTCTTTGCATATCTTTTCCCATATGGTCGCGGAGAAGCATCTTGCATACAGGTAGCTATAGTAGCCTGTGCCAGTTAACCAGGAAAAGATGTAATCATATGGGTGGGTGTAAATGCGTAGTATCTCGTACGAAGCAACAAGAATACAGAAACGAGGAAGTTGCAAAGTTAAGTTCGATCCCCAAAGGGTTAAATTCAGAATTCTAAAAACTTCATTTGAGCAATGAATTTATGAATTGTGTTTTCACTTGTGTCCCTACACACACAAAACCCAAATTAATCCATCTGGTATCTCTACTAATTGTGCATTAATAGTTAAATTAATCCTAGAATTCCTCACATAGGTTTTACCTTTTACGGCGTATATTAAAGATTTAAACCTATAAGAGTTAAAACTAAAAACTTCAAATGTTGCACATAATTTGTGAATTGTTCATAACATCATCCATACATGCACAAAATGCTAATTAAACTTTTTAACTCCTGCACTACATAGTTGTCAATTAGATGTTCTAATAATTTCTATCGCAATTGGGTTGTTATTGTTGTTGTATTGCAATGCCCTCTCCGTCCCACAAAGATGGTATACTTCCTAAATTAAGCATATTGTTGATGCTTTGTTTCAAAGTATATCCCTAATTAATGTACCTTGGTTAGCTAGTAGCTACCCAATTACCATAAGTCCCTAATGATGGATTTAGTCCACCAAAGATACGGAAGTGGGCCGAATACGAAGAATATAAGGATACATGAATTAAGAGAGATGAAATATGAGACCAAAAGTTAGTAGAACTTAGTTGAATATCAAGAGTGAGGTCATTACTCCAATGATGGAGCGATTCTATTTATAGGACATAAAGGTGAGGAGCACAATCCACTATTCATGGAGGTGATTGGGCATAACCGTCCATCATTTCCTTCGATGATGTGAATGCACTACCTACGTCCCTTTGACGGTTAGTGATTGGAATCTACCCTTTGACTCCACATGCCTGAGCATGTGAAGGAAGTGTGGGTCGAAACCCCACATGGTCCAAAGGCCCTCCCAAAATATCTGCTAGTGAGCTTGACCTCTACTTTAAATTTCTTTGAACGCCACTAGGTACACCCTTATGTTAACAAGATTGATGGTTTCTTATTGTGTATATGCATCACAGCATGTAGTACCTGCGCCGTAGTTTGTGAGATGATTGAATCGGGTGTGCCAATGTGTTCCATCCACATGCTTCCAGCTTGTGTGTTGCTGTTTAAGATCAGCAACAATGGACATTGTATCTCTGCCTGAAGAAGGCTGCTCTCCGAAAAGTGTTTGATCAACTAAGGCATAGAATATCTGATAACATGGCAAAGAAATGCATAGATCATAGGTTAGTTGATGACTTGAATTCTATAAGTGTTTTTTATACAGCTTTAATAACAATACCAAACCCTAAAAATCAAACCTGACGTTGTAATTCTGTTGCAGAAAACATATTTTTTGCTTCAACCATTGATTTTACCAATTCTTTTGGAATGACATCATTGGTCGAATAGTGTTTAGCAAATGTGCTTAGAACACGATAATCCAGTGCGAAGTGCCTATACCAAAGCAAATTACATCATTATGGACAACTAGAAACAATAATGCTTATCGCAGCCAATGCAAATCTTGTAGCACCATAGTAAGCATGCAAGGAATATTGCACTTAACTCATCCAATCTTTCTCCATATTTCACATAAGTTTACTCCATATTTTGTTTTAGAATGTGTTAGGTACAGATAAATTCATTTTCAAGGAAAAAGATTTTCCATGGAAAAGATTTTCCCAAAGAAAATAAATTTTCCATTACATTTTCTAATGTTTGACAAACGTCCAGAAAATAATTTCATTGGCAAGCTGTATTCTCTATAATTGTCCAAAAGCTAACATTACATGCGCACGAAATAGTTTCGTAGAACACATCTTCCTAAGGAGGTAAAAAACGGATATTGAAGTCCCAGATTCTACACAAGATTTTCCTCTACTCAACAGAAAACAATTTTCCAATGAGAAATTTAACCTCGACTGGTTTTCCGAGAATCCTGTGGACTTTCAAACACTGCCTTAATCACTAAATCCTTTCCACCATGCTTCCACTAATTTCACCTATCAACCTTACAAAAGTCAATCATGTACCACCCACATGACCATAATAGTCAGACTTTTTTATCCAACTTAATCGATACAAAATTTGTGCCCTAACTCGTACTACAAAACTGAATTAGAGTACTCATAAATTATTTCCTCGCCACATTCATATCGTTTCAGGGTATAAAAATGAGCATAGGCTCAGTACACTTAAATGCCATCACAATTAGAGCTTTTGAAATGAAATTTTTCAATCATATCCAAGTAGGATGAATGCAAAGTGTTGACAGTTGGCAACCATTAGTCAAAATATGAATCATATTCAAAGTATGTATATAGTATATACGCACTCAAAGAGCGTCGAAGGTGTTTCAGCAAAATCAAGAACAGCTCTAGTCCCTGAAAAATGTTGATACTCCTAAACAAACAATCACATGCCAAAATCATTTAGTATAATGTAGTAGCTTAACCAATGCCCACTAGAGACAGAAAATCCTTTCAATACCGTTCTTGAAAGTAATGAATGAAGAGCATGCCCAAATTCATGAAAAAGTGTTTCTACTTCTTGTTGGTTAAGCATCACTGATGTTGATTTTGGACATGAGAAATCACAAACAAGGGCAACAATCTGCAAGTTAACATGCATATATAAATATTCTGAAGAGTGAAAATGTATATAGAGAAAAAACAGAACTACAAAAGATGTTTATTTACAGAAGCCTATAATTGTAAAATACTTTAATGAATAGCTAAAAAGAGTATATCTATCTTACATACAGGAAGTTGGTACTCTGTATCAGAAACCCAACGTCCTCCTCTGATGGCAAAATGGGCACATATAGGATCTTTACCCATTCTTGACTTCAAATCAAGGTATAAGTAACCCAATTCACCCTGACATTTATATTTTGCATAATCAGCTCAAGCATAAAAAGGTGGTAACAGCTTGAAGTAAAATCAATTGTTATATAATGGGGAAAAGTGCACTTATCTAAACAAGGTAATTACAGAAATGCACAACATAGCAGAAATGATGCAAGGGCATATGGTTTTAGGGCTACATATAATCCCTGAAGGTCATAAACATATTAGAGCAAAAAGAAAAATAAAAGACAATATACCTAGGAAGGAACAACTAGTATTGACTCCAAAAATATACAGGGGAAGAAACAAAGCAGAGAACTTTTGGTAAACCCAAATTTAGACAGATAGAATAAGTTTGATGGATCTTAGAATTACAATACATTAAACTTTAGCAGTATAAGTATTCTAAAGAATGCTGCCAGCTCTTCTTTGGCTGAGTTGGTTTGGTAAGAGATTTTCAACTGCTAAGCCAAGAGTTCAAAGCTCGGTATTGGAGAAGGAGAAGTATTCTAATGATTGTTACCTCATTAGGATGTTGTAACAATATTTTGATCACATCTGGATGCCATGATTCAGAAGGTGCCAGAGGAATATGCCGAAAAGTCACGCCAAAAAGTGACTCAACCAAAATCTTTAAGCCCTCTATACAACGCTCTAAAGGAAAATATGACGTCACAGCCTAATAATTGCACCAACAAGTGAAAATATTACATAAAAATGTGTAGGAATAAACACTGTGCAATATTCACACATCTAAATTGGCAAGAGTTGTACAGAAAATTAATTCGGTTGTAGAACATAGTAACAATGTGTTATGCCAGATGCCCTCTATGTAGCCACCTTCTAAAGATGGAACATCGAGATAAATATAATAAAACCAGCATCGTCATAACTTATCTACTAATTACAAGTGCATGGAAATTATACGGAGATGACAACGAGTAGAGATATTTGCTATTGTCATGTCCATTACATGATTGGTATTGCAAAACCAACATGCTAATCATGGAACATGATTATACAAAAAAAATCAACTGTAAGTAGAAGTAGATAAGCACTGCTTATAAACTAAAACTAGCTTTAAATGAACATCAGTTACCACATCAGAGGAGAGCCTTTTTTTATCCTAATATCCCCGATAGAGTTAATCGAGTCTACTGGCAAGGATAGAAATAGAAGTACCACTGAAGTACTAGTCTACTACTAGAGTACTAGACTAGAAAATCACTATCTGAAAATAAAACAATATCTTGACTAGAAAAGGGTTCGCTTTATTGTATTGATGTGAGATATAACCAAAAGTATATTTAAAAATAAACTGGAGCAAGAAATGGGAGAAGCTGTTGGTTTGGAGTGTGAGTAACTTAGCATAGTGTAATTTGGAAAACATGGATAAAGCAATAATCACCAACTGTTTGGTTTATTGACTTGGGTTGACAAAGTCAATGCTTGCAAATAAAGATGACTGAAATTTTGCTATATTCATGTCCGAACAGTCTGTTTTATTAAAAAGATTCTCCTCCACTAACATAATCAATGATTAAAGATGCTGCATCCCAGACGAAATTTATAATTCCGGAGGTCAAGAGTTTGAAAAATATCCCATCACGAGAACAATTGGTTGCATGTCTCACAAAATTTGGTTTTTAGAAGCAATCAAATATCCTACCCCATAACAACAAGCAAAAATCAAAACTTGAGAAAAGACAGACCAACCCTTAGTGCAGAAAGTTGAACTTTATAAGAAAGAAGGGATGGCAGAAACAAAGTTACTCCAGTTACCAAGGAATTCATGTTGTATGCAGACGACTTCATCAACCATGTGTAGTATCCCTCATCCCATGGCTCTAAGTCTATACTCTGTTCACAATTCTTTATTCTCTTAAACTCCTTGATTGCCTTAAATTCCTATACAAAACAGCATGCTCGGAGTACAAATTCTACACGCTGCACATGAAGAATAACTGCAGGAGATAATTTAAAAGCTTAACATACCTTGTCAGCCTTGGGTCTAACCACTTTGCTCATCTCGAGCAAAAAGGAAATGACGACTTCTGGAGATGCAGCCATTGTTGAATGTAGAGCAAATGCAGAATAGGATTTATAGCCCAGAATCTGCATGCTAGCACCACAAATAATGATAGAAAGAAATGTGTAAACAATCGACCAGTTGGTCAAAAAATGGAAGCAATGACAATTTATGTGCCTCATTAAATGCCCAACGGGTAGCCAAGAAATAATCTGGATTATAATGGGTATGGAAGTCGTGAGCAGTCCTGAGCACATGTATCAATGAGAAAACTGCAGTTCCTTTTGATAAGTAATATACTCCCTCCGTCTCAAAATGATTTACCTCTTTACTATTACGGTTTCTCGATAACTTTTGTTGCATGTTTTCATTGACCATTTAATAAAATAAAGTATTCTTGTAACCTTGTTTTGCAGAACTTTTGATGTAGTTTTTAAATATATAATTTTTTTAAATTTCTATACCAATTTGTAAATAAAATCATTTTAAAAGTTACAGGATTTTACACATTAAACTGAGAGTGTAATTCATTTAGGGATGGAGAGAGTATAAGTTGAAGTATATGGTGTGTGTTGTATTCCGGAGAGCTCTCAAACCACCCTAGATTGTCAAAGGAATCCTTCAATAAGTCTACCACATACACTTTTTGCTTTTGGTTGTCTCCTAAGTGATGGTGCCTATGTATAGTGCACTAGGAATGATCTCATCAGGTGTGCCTGACCAATCTTGACAAGAACGGATGCTCCAAGCCTTTATATCAATTGACTAAATCAAGATTTAAAGGCCGGGAGGATTCGTGCTTCACATAATTAGTGGGGTGTGCTTCATGAGATAATTCATCTATAGTGAACCCTTTCTGTTAATAATCTATCATTTGGCCTTAGATAAGAGCGTTTAGAGAGCTGGGATTAAAGTAGTTGGGTAGGCGCCTTGGGCTCAAGGGTAGTTGTTTGTACTTGTCCTTGTGTGCTTTCTATGCCTTGAATGCTTGGTACTATTTGATTACAGTACTTTGCCTTTGTTAACTTTAGTTTGTTCATTGCCCTGTGTGCTTGGTGATTTATTTGTGTTTTCTCTACTTTATTTATCTCTTGTGATCTTTGTGATCTAGTCTTTTTATCTATGCAGTTTGAGCCGGGTGTCTCTTGGAAACAACCTCTCTACTTTCAGATGGAGCAATCAAAATCTTCTTGTTACCCCCACTATAATTTGTGAGTAATAGTGCTATTTAAGATGTAGCAATCCACATTTCATACATGATCAATGATTTCTGTATCATAAAAGGGCAGATCTTAAGTGCACAACCTGAGCAAATTCATGGCGAGCCGCAATTAGCTTATCAAGAATTGTAATATTTTCATGTGGGGAAGAATATCCCTGGACATATGCCATCTTCCTAACCTGTACACAATTCACAGAAATGACAAAAAAATAACTAACACTGTGGTTATCTCAGCATCCACCTCTAGTTACACTGTCTCGGTGCAAAGAATTGAAGGTTATAAAATTATAAATGATAAACCCAGGAATATATTGAAAGGGAAGAAAAAAAATCACAGGAGGAGAAAAACTCTACGTATGACAAAGAAGAGCAGTTATGATACATCCAACCAAGGAGTCCAGCAGATCATTAATTTGGTGTTATAGTTGCTCAAAGGCTTCTTGATACACTCTAATGATTGTGATATTCTTGGGGCAAGATAAGCCTTTGGAAGAGTCAGCATATTAGGTGGGGCCAAAATGCTATTCGAAGAACCCAAACTAATTCTACCCAGCCAGTTGGCCCTCTTCGATTGATCATTGTATTGCCAAACCCTTCAAATTTTTGTTTGGGAGCTAGTCATGGAGTTGGATTTCTAGAATTTATGAGGCAAATGATTCAATAAACAAGCATTCATTTTGGTGGCGAATCCATCCAAATGACATTCATGTCATGCAAGTGTCTGCTGACATCAATACAAAGCTCAATATTGACCTCTCCATAGGTATCCATGAGCTCTAATACCATTTGATCAACACAAGAACAAGTGAATATGAAGAATTCTAAGAAGGAAAAAAGGTTTTGGGGCTAGAGAATCTTTAATTCATCATGGCATTTTCAGATGGCCAAACACCAATTTATACAAAGAAAAGAGCTAAAGTTCCACCAACTCTAGCAGATAAATGTACATCCGCACAACTCCCTCTTCATAGCATAAACTCCTAAATAATAGGACAACTAAACAACCCAGGTAATACAACAACAATGTCCACCATAATAGCATAGTGATAAAACACATAAAACTAATTTATTCCATTCACCCATGTATAAAATGAATTAATGGGGACGTCCATATCAAAATAATTTTTGTTAGGAACTCCAATGCACATGCTATAGTGTGACTCATGCACATGGTATCAAGCAAGTTCTAAATGGTACCCAAAGAATAAGATGACATCATTGATGCCATCGGAGCTAGTTTTTGAGTCATCCAATATGTAATGGCGAACCCAATCCCCTTTAGGAAACCCGCCCACTTTAAATCTGACTACAACTCCTATATTCCTGATTAATTTATAAAAGTAGAGAGTAGTGAGGAAGCGGTTCATCAATTAACAATCCTCTCTTGGGGACAATTTTAAGTCCGCCAACACTCTATCATAGGAAAATGTGTTTCGTTCCACACAAAGAGCAACCTTTGATCTTGGAGGCATCTATCTTTCTCACTTTGGCTTGGAAACAAAATCAAATTTTGAGTGGCCAGTATTTATGAGCATGTGCATGAGTCGCATCGTAGCATGAGAGTTAAAATCTCTAACATGGTCATTCAATTCATAAATGAGTGAAGTAGAACAATTGTTTCGAGCATTTTATGTGTTATTTAGTTCAAAATTGTTGATCGGTGTTGCTACCTTTACAGTGCTATTATTTGGTTATTCTATTATTTAGTAGTGACAAGATGAATTGTTATCGTAGATTATATTTCCTGTGTATAAATTGGTGTTTGAGCCAAATGCAAAAAAGCATGGTGAGAGAGAAGTTCTTCTTGCTCCAAAGCTTCTTCATCATTTATTTATGGGTTTATCAATACGCGCATACATCATACATGCATGCGACAGGACACTAGGACAGCATCTATGAGGATAACGGGGTTAAAGAAGGAGCAATAAACAGACTGTACCTCATACTAATGGTGGACATAAAGAAGTAAAATTAATTTTACAGCCACCAATCCAGTTGTTGCTTGGACCAATGTTTAGCCGATCTACTTTAAAAAAGGCCTATTTTAGCGGGCATATCCTACTTCCAAGGGTAAGTGCTTCTGGATTGATCGACACAAATTAGAAATAAAAAAGATAGAGCTGATGCAGTGACCACGATCTCAGACTGACTCAGTTGCCTTTGGCTCTTTCATAAATGTATGGCCATGATCAACTTATTGTATATATTTTATTCCCTTCAGGCATTCTCTTCTTCACCTAGTGGTACCTTCCTCATTTCCTTTCTCAATCATACTCCGAAGTGTAAAAAAGACACATTGTGTTCCTTTCAGTATTGAGTTAGGTCCAGAATTAAGGCATTTGCTTCCATTTGAGAACTAAATTTCAAAAATGCTCAAGAAAATAGGTTGATTATTGCCCAATGAAATGGATAATGTATGTGCTGATTATGTTTAACAACTCAGGTAAGTCTTGTTCCCTTGGTCTAAAAAAAGTTTTAGGATGTAGGCATGACAAACAGCAATTACCTATGACTTATTCATAACTGCACAAAAATGTTACCTCAGCATCTGATACACATTGAAGTACATGCTGCAAATTGCTTGGTGAGGTTACCAACCTGAACCCCTTTTCATCCTTTCCATCTCTACACCAATTGGATCCCTCAGAGATATCCTTTGGTACTTGATAGATAGGCTTGACAAGGTGGCGCCAAGGTTTAGCAACACGTGATGCTGGAAATATATCCACATGACCAGGGTCAGTGACAATATTTGTACTAAACCTGATAAAAAATAGTCATACAGATTTATATTGTGATTAATTATTCTATCATGTAGAGCAGGGGAAAGATCAAAATTGAAAGATGAATACATTTGCAATACAGAAGGACAGCAAATAAATAAATAAACAAAAATGCCTGAGATATAAGCATGATGTGTGTGCATTGTGTCTGATGTGTATCGAGCAAACCAAATGACAGATCACAGATAAACACAGCAACAACAACTACGTCTTACCCCAAATAACTTGATATTGAAGCACACTACACTAATAATTGATATTTACGAATACAACAACAACAACAACCCAGTAGAATCCCACGAAAGTAGAGTTTGGGAAGGGTGTGTGTACGCAGACCTTACCCCTACTCGAAAGTAGAGAGGCAGATTTAGAGACCTCCGACTCGAGCAATGCACAAGACACACAAAGCACGATCATGTTTAAGAAAAGAGCAAACTAAGGGTAAAGGAAAGTGCAAAAAGACAAGAAGCATCGAGCAAAAAAAGCACACACGACAAAGGAAAAAACTCTAACCTAAGGCCCAAAGTATTATTCAACTACCTTGATCCTAGATCTCTAGATGCTCCTATCAAAGGTCATCGGTAAGGACCAAATAACCTAAGTCAAGTCTAATCACCTCTTTCCCATTCTTCTTACTATAAGCCTCTCATATCTCCATACCGGGGCATTAGCACTGCACCGCTTCACGTGCCCAAACTACCTCAACCTAACTTCCTGCAACATATCCTCCACATATGCCACTCCCACTCGTTCCCACATAATCTCACTTAGCATCCACCGATGACGAAAGTGGGTTTTATTAACCACCCATGGTCTGACAACGGACCGTTAGAACTTGCCTTTAATCCTTGGGATTCCTTGCCTAAATATTCTTGTCGCTGAGAGCCAATGAAGCCAACATCCACTTTGCGCAACCAGCTCCCATATAGTGAACTACATTGAAACTTATCATTCTTAACACTGAGTGCGACTCAATCCTAATTTCCACATCTAATTCAGCCACCGAGCATTCTAAGTATTCATATTGGTGAATACAGTAACATAATTCACACAACTCTTGACATATCATTTTTTATGGAGGTCGAAGCTCTATCAAAGTGCATAAGCTACTCAGAGATGAATCTGGACTTACTTTCTACACAACTGAACAATCTCTGTATTAAGCTGATTCACTTGATCCAGTCTCTCTACATGTCAAAATGCAAAACAGTTATGTTTGGGAATTGGAAGAAAGAGAAGTAGAGATCTTGATGCAAAGGGACAATTTGTGATGGAAACGCACCAGGGGAAAGATGAATTCCGCCATTCTCCAAATCATTGCGTAAAAAATGAGCTGCCCTCTTACCTTCATCTGTGAGTGAATCTCCTTCGTTTTCTGCTTTCAACACAGCCTTATATATACTTTGATTTGAATTCAAGTACTGCAAAACACGACGCAAAAGTGCTATGAGCACTATTATGATCATATAAAGTACAATTAAACCAGATACGTACAAGTACAAAGGAAGTTGTTTGCTTTCTTACGTGTAAAAAGTTATTAAGTCTTGAAGAAGCCCGGCTCGCCTCCTCAACAAATTCCCTGTTGATAAAATGAAATCCATATTTTAACTCTATGGCATTTAAAAAAAGACAATCCTAGATGTTAGGAGTACGTAGTCATTCGATGCAACTCCAGAGAAAAAAATGTAGACCTATCTGGATGAGTATGTCTACATAGCTCGGCAGCATCAATCACTGAGCATACCTGTCACACAAAAGTCCTTCAGAGATACCCTAGCATTCTAAAGTGAAAGTATGAAAGTGAAGCTGTACATACGGTATCAGAAATTTCATCTAATTTTCGAATGATTTCTGGAGCAGACGGCATAGAAGAAATGTGGTTCAACAGTTCTGTAGACCTGGTAAGCATAATCAAACGTGTTATTGTTAATAAACTGATAATGAAGGGGTACTTCTTCAACCAGAGTAGCTGCTAGAATTGGATTGACACCGAATTAGCTTCGTCTATTTCTGATTTCTCTCTCGCGTACCTCTCGATAGCATCTTCAGCGAAGCGTTGGAATCCTTTGGCGGTTTTCAGGTGACTGTAGCCGTAGAGACCAGTGTCGTTGATGATCGGTGCTGTGAAGGTACTTGCAGTGCGGGAGAATTGGAGTTTGCAGCCGACTATGGCGGAGGACCTCCGGATAAGCGCGTACATGGTGCAGCCACCCCGCCGCCGTGTGATGCGCGGAAACTGAAAGCTCTGAAATCCAATATGGGTTCTAGTGGTTCTACGAAAGCTAGCCACTTGAGCTTACCCCTTCAACAATATTCTATTCCCTTCATTCCATATTAAAACTTTTTTAAAAATACATTTAAAAAACGAATAAATGAATGAATAAATGTAGATACATACTCCCTCCGTCCCAAAAAGTTTGTTACGTCTGCGTCCCGTAAAGTCCGTTACATTTCTATTAAAAAACCACTTTTACCCCTTACTTTTTCATACACTACCTATCACATCATACTTTTTTTCTAATAATCTACCCATCACATCCTATTTTTACCCATCACATCAAAATATTTTTGAAAAGTCAATACCAAAATATCTCTCCCTTAATTTCCCAAAAAGTCAAACCGTCCCATTCTTTTTGGGACGGAGGGAGTACTTTGTTTAAAACAACAATTTTGTTTAGCGCTAGTTTTTTGATAAAATTTTAATAGTTTAAATTAAATCTAAAAACGTTGACGTATTGTTACTAGAAAGTTAGCCCGATAATCAATCCCAACATTTCTTCTACTTACTTGAAGCGCAATTACGATGCCAAACAATGCAGGTCATTGAAATTGAAGGCTCAAAGTCCCGAAACAACATGTGGATGGACCGGGTGATCTACACAGTCACCAACCTTGCAACGGAGTCCATAGCCTTTGGAGGATTTACTTTTCTTAACAACGTCGCGATTCAATATAGGTAAAAGAATATAACAAATGGCAGCTATTGTGGGATCCACTTACTTGATTTGCCTCGGCAGTGTTACATTGTCATTTCTTTTTTAAATCTATGTCTCGTCTTTCTTAAATTTATAATTTTGCCACTGAATGTACAAGAAGGACGGTGCAGGTTTGTTGATCGAACTAAGTCAATCCCTAATACAAATTGAGCTGTATTTTCTTTAAAATTTTAGGAAAATATATATATCAAATTGTCAAATTTTATATTGGTTTGATTGGCTTTGGGAAAATTTTATATGTCAAATTTTAAATATTTTGGTGGAATGAGCCTAGTTATGAGAAATATAATTTGGATTTAATATCCATTGCACAAATTGATATATAAATAAAAATATAATACAAATCTTACATTTTAAAACTAGATTAAAAATTTTACAAAATAAAATATGACAAGACTATTTTATTTTTTTAAATTACCAAAAAAACAAAAGTATCAGCTGGTCAGAATAAAAACATGTAAATAATATTTTGTACTCCGTATAATTTATCGATACACCAGTAAATAATTGTACAATCCATTTTTGAATAGAGAAACTATTAGCTAAACTTAAGGTAGAAGGCCAAGCACATTTCCACAAGGGTGTGTAGTGAGCAATTATCAAACTAATCTTCAGAATCGTAACAACCGAGAATATATGCCAATATATTATAAATATAATAATCTTTTTATATTTCTTATTAAGTTATAAGTTTATTTTGAAAGTTTGTGAAATAAAGAGTACAAACTAAGTTTATAATTAAGCATTTCTTGAATTTTATTAATAATTTTTTAATATGTAATTTTTATATCTTATTGATATATCAATTTGTAAATAAAATTATTTCAAAAAATAGGAAATTTTACTCCGTAACCTGCAATTTGTAATCAAATTGAGGACGGAGAGAGTATTATAATTTTATCGAACAAATGCGTGAGAATGAATATTACATTATTTCAAATTGAATACTTATGTCTTATACGAGTCTTATACGAGAGTAACTAGTACTTTATTTTTTTAAAATTTAGAGCCTGGACTCTATCATACCGGCATATTGGAATCACGCCTAAAGTTCTAAAAAGCTAAACTTCTAAGCTTTCATATTTCCCGCGACAATTCATCTCATCTCCACACCAAGCCCAACCACCTCCAACCTCCATCTCTGAAGAATGTCTGCAAAATCTGCAAAATTCGAGCTCGAATTCCCGCATCAATGTCCTTTACGTAGATATCCTTATATAGGGTTTGCCATTTTTTCGATCCCATTGAATCCCTGTATAGATGCTCTCGTATAATTCCCCAAATGCGCCGCCAGATCTATTATTCGTCTACCCGCGAGAATGAACCCGGCCACGAATCCCACGATAGCGATATCCACTGGAATTTGTAACAATGTCGAGTGATCACAATACAGATCCGTGGAGGACCTTGAATCCAGACACTGTTAATGATCCACGGATGTTTTCTAACCAGATGGATTTGCCTTCCACCTTGAAGCTCACATGTGAGATCCCTCCGATCCCTCACCACCGTGCCAAAGAGGACATCATAGATGGTGATGGAAAAGAAGATCCATTGGTTATCGAGGGTCGGAATCTTGGTCTGAATCACATTAGGACCCGCTCATCAGCTTTGTCGCCGCGTAGGCTTTCAACTGCCATTTCAATGCCGGTTGATTGTGGAAATGGAGTCGATTTGCAGTCTGGGCTGCTATCTACAACTGATCAGTCTGTTGAGAATTTCTCTGAACATGGTCATTCTTTTCTATCCCCTTTTGCAGTCTCATGACAATTTCTGTTTTGACTTGCTCAAAAACTTAACCAGTGAGAACAAACGGTGAAATTTATGATACCTAAATAGGAGTAAAACATAGAGAAGGTGCCAAAATAGGAGCTCCACGTTTTTATCTCAAAAAAAGAGTTGCGCGGTGGTAATGTGGCACTGTATATGAATATTTCACAATACTTTTTGGTAATGTCATGATTGGCACTGTATATGCATTTTAGCTCCTATTTCGATAATTAAAACATGGAACTCCAATTTAGGTATATGTTCAATGTTTTACTACTACTTTAGTCTTTTTCCCTAAGTTAATTAGGTGTTCTCTCTATTTTCATGTTCCAGCTAAAAGGATACAGTGGAATCAGGCTAATTCATTGAATGTCCTGTCACGCACTTGTTCGGGTTCGGAGGTAGTTTGCATGCTCTGTCACTTGGTTCATGGGACTGTTTTAAATTTCATCATATAATGAAGTTATTTGAAAGCAACTTAGCTAGGTAACTCAGCTTGTGCTCTTTATTATCAAAATTTAAAAGTCACTTTGCTTATTGTAGGATTATCATGCAGCTTTTGTTAAGGAAATGAAATCTCCACGGTGTCAAGCTATATTACGTGTCACAAATGGTCGGAGGAAAAGAGTTACAGATATGAGAAGTCTCTCTCATGAGCTCAATTCCAAAGGAGGCCGACCCCTTCCATTCTGGAGATCTCGTGCTTTTGGGCGAGTGGAGGTATGAACTTTTTATTCCAGAGAATGAGCATTGCTTGTCTCAATTTTTTTGTTCATGAAAAGTAATTGTATTAATAACTTATCATTGTTATAAATATAATTCTTAGGAAATTATGGCCATGATTCACTCAAAGTTTGATAAATTAAAGGAAGAGGTAAACAATGATCTAAGCATTTTTACTGGGGATATAACGGGTATTATTGAGAAGACATCTGAGTCCAATCTTGAATGGAGGAAAAGTTTGGAAGATTTGTTGGTTATAGCTAGGGAATGTGCACAAATGTCCCCTTCTGACTTCTGGCTGAAGTGTGAAAGTATTGTTCAGAATCTAGATGACCGCAGGCAAGAGTTATTGATGGGCACTGTCAAACAAGCCCAAACTCGCCTCTTATTCATACTCACGCGGTGCACTAGGCTTGTACAGTTTACAAACGAGAGTTGTTTTGAAGAACACGTAGTGGCATCTCACAGACTCTGTGACCATGGGGCCCATGCAGAACAAATAGTTAGCCCTTTCAGCCAATATATGAGCAGTCCGTTAAATGGGAAGGAAAAAAGTTTGAGAAGAATTAAGAAAGGTCAAGGGCATGACCATACCAGTTCCACAGCTAATCAGTATCAGATGAAGGATTATGATGGTGGACGGGTGATAGAAGAAAGCCATATGAAGAGTGTTGCTTCCCCTACAGGAAGCTCAACAACGTCCTCTTGGAAGAGACATCCATCTGCAGCTGAAAGAAAAGGTGAGGTCCATGAATCTGTTGGCACCTGTACCTCGCCCTCTATTAAGTTTGATCACTTGCAACATAAAGCTGCAGACTGGGATCATCATAATATCTCGTATGAAGATTCATTCATGTGTCGCATATGTGAAGTCGAAATACCTACTATATTTGTAGAACAACATTCCAGAATTTGCACAGTTGCTGATAAATGTGATTTAAAAGGATTCACAGTTAATGAAAGACTCCAAAGACTTGCAGAAGCTCTTGAGAAGATACTTGAATCATGGACAGTGAAAAGTATTGACAATGAGATAGGAAGTCCAGAGTTAGTAAGATTGTCTGCCTTGGCCATCTACAAAGAGATGGATGAATTGTCAACAAAGCAGGACGGTCTGTCTTGTCAATGCTCTGAAGACATGCTGAATTGCATCCATGAGTGTGATACCATTTCTGTTACGAATCTAAACAGTCTGTCTGAAACGCCTAGGAAGGGTTCTCCAGCAGGCACCCCAACATCTCGATCACCACTGCTGACACCACGAACTAGCCAGATTGCACTGCTTTTGAGCGGACTCAAGATGATATCTGAATATGAAAGTTATCCACAGGTATTTCAGAGGACTATCTTGAAGACTTGAGTATTGATTTGGCTGATAAGTGGTTCTATTTGAAGTCAATAGATAGAAATGAACTTGAAAATTCTTCCTTCATAGCTTTTCTCTTGGATTGAGCTTTTATTTGAAAGTTCTAGTACACAGTTTAGTTTTTTTTTTATTTTGACAATTTCTTTTTGTATGTGCTATTATCTTTAAGAATGAGAACAAATTTTCTTGATATGTGGTCTTAATAGAATATTTATCCTTCGATCATGTTATTTGAACTTCACCTGTCATTTCATCTTTATTGAACTTGATTATTTTTTCATGACACTTGGACACTTTATGTTGGGCAGTAACCCAATCCTACACCAACGAAAAAGAAGATTAGACTCAAATTTAAGTGTATAGGTGGTAGTTGGGTGCATTGCATTGGTAAACAATGACCAGTGACTAGGGAGAATATTTGGCGTTAAGCATTTTAAGCCCATCTAAACTGACAGAATTTAGTTTCTAAAGGTGAAATACGGGTTCAAGACCTGGGAAAAATTTTTGTTTACGGTAAGCCAAATAGTGGTTGTTTTTGTTATGACTTATGAGCATGGTGGACATTCACATTTACTTCAGATATTATAATTTTCAGTATTATGCTCTCCTAACTCATTTTTAGCACAGATTAAAAAGGTAATGCCTGTTATATGGATCCATTTTCTATGCACAAACTTCATTTTTCCTCCTGTTTCTCAAGTTTTAATAACCATATTGACTGGCATGGCAGATAAATAAGCTGCTGCATATTGCTCGATCAGTTGTCCTCATAAACAACAATGATTATAATTCTCTGGAAAATTTGCTTGATCGTCTAGACGACCTGAAGTATGCGATTCAAGATAGAAAAGTTGATGCTCTTGTTGTGGAGACCGTTGGGAGGCGCATAGAAAAATTGTTGCAGTGAGTTGAATAAAGTTTTGTGCATTTAATCACAAGATGTTATTGTTACCTGTTTAAAATGAACACTCCATCCCAAAAAACACTCGTTTTGAATACTGATTCAGTGTTAAAAACAGATTTTTTGGGGGGATGGATGTAGTAATATACGAGTATATCTGTTCCTTCTGCTGATTAATGCCTTAATTTGTTTCTTTTTTCTCATGCCCATTGACCGTGTTACCACTTCTCAAAACTCAACAGCGAGAAATATGTTCTACTTTATGGACATATTGAAGAAGAAAAAGAAGATTCACCAACTAGTGCAGCTGATGAGGAATGTTCTGTTGATGAGGATACATTACGTAGTTTTCGTACGAGTCCTATCCACCAATGCTCAAAGGAGCGAACGTCTATTGAAGATTTTGAGATAATAAAGCCAATCAGCAGAGGTGCTTTTGGGCGAGTATTCTTGGCTAAAAAACGAGCCACTGGTGATTTGTTTGCAATAAAGGTTAAAGTTTATATCCTAGAGGAATGAATGGTTAAGGTTTTCTACAGCATCCAACATTTTTTCCAATTCTACTTTCGCCTAGTATGTATTTGAGCTGAAATAAAGTTTTAAAAAACTAGTCACCATAACCAACTTTATATATAATTAATCCAACAATTGAAGACTAGTTACCATAACCAACTTTATATATAATTAATCCAACAATTGAAGACTAGTTACCATAACCAACTATTATATATAATTAATCCAATAGGACTGCTATGCATACAACTAAGTTTTCCCCTGATTCACTTGGTTCTCGCTTGATGGATTTTATTGTTGTTGTTGTTGTTGTGTGGAAAATTAATCTAGATTTATTTGTATACCTTTATGATTCGTAGCTTCTTGTAATTCAGCACTGGAAACTTGCCTTGATAAAACTATTATATGATAGGATCTTCTTCAACATCTCTGCATTTGTGAGGCTTCACAGTTCTTTACAGTTGCTGATGCAATCAAACATTTTTTTCAGGTTTTGAGAAAAGCTGATATGATACGGAAAAATGCTGTAGAGAATATTTTGGCTGAACGCGATATCCTAATTTCAGTTCGCAATCCATTTGTGGTTAGAAAATCTCTAAATTTATTATTCATTCACACTTTACCCTCTCCCTTGCATGGTTACAGGAAATTTTCAAACCTGACTTTACTAATTCAAGATCTGATGGGAACAGGTCCGGTTTTTCTACTCTTTCACATGCAGGGATAATCTTTATCTTGTCATGGAATACCTAAACGGAGGAGATATTTTCTCTTTGCTGAGGAACCTTGGCTGCTTTGAAGAAGATATGGCTCGTGTATATATTGCTGAAGTTGTAAGCACATACTGATACCTCATACTCTATCCAAGGAATTTCAACAAACTGTTTTTCATGGAATGATCCACCTTTTTTTTGTTATACTCAGATTCTTGCTTTGGAATATCTTCATTCCTTAAATATTATTCATAGAGACTTGAAGCCAGACAATTTGTTGATAGGTCCAGAGGGTCACATCAAGGTTACAATTTCCCTTTTGCTTCCCAAGTTAATGGTGCATTTTATTTTTCAAAAAGTGCCATACTTGTTTCAGCTTAGTAACACTATATTGATCTACAGATCCCCCCCCCCCACACACCCTCACCCACGCACCCACGCACCCACAATTGCATTTGATAAATTGTGGATCTAATATTTGTTGCTGCAAGTGAGGCGTGAAATTTTACCAGCATGTATAAGTTCATTGGCTAAAAAATTAATTGGCTTTTTTGTCATGGAAAACAACTTTGGCATGCATCTGTGTTACTTGCACCTTTTATGCACTAAAGCTTGGTAGTTAGCAGTTATTATCCTGTGACAAATTTATAACCTTCCATGCTCCCTTNGCGCGCCTGGTTTTTTGGTTTGGTTCTCACATAACTATATTCTTCCCTTCACAGTTGACAGATTTTGGACTCTCCCAGGCAGGTCTTATCAATAGCACTGATGACTTGTCACGTCCATCAAATTCCACATTTCTTGAGGATGACAAACCAAAAGTACAATCATCACTTAAAAGAGATCAGAGGCAAAAGAGTTCTGTTGTTGGAACCCCTGATTATTTGGCCCCTGAGATACTTCTTGGCATCGAACATGGTGGGAACTGCTGTTCACTCATCTCACATAATACAGATTATGTTCTTGCTCCATTTGTTGCATTTTAGTTGTTCTTTTGTTCTGCTTTTAGGTTCAACAGCTGACTGGTGGTCTGTTGGTGTGATTATGTTTGAGCTCCTTGTTGGCATCCCACCTTTTAATGCAGAACATCCTCAGGTATCTTTAATTATATAGGAAAATCAATAGGTTATAACTTATAAGAGTTCTTTACGTCAATGTTTGGATTGAATATCCAAGAATTATCTTTTAAGCCGATAGTAGCTTTTGCAACAAGGTTATAAGCCGGTAGAAGCTCTTACATCACTTCTTGAGGTTTTCAATCTTCTCCCATTGCCAATTTCGCAACTTAACAGTTGATCCATTTCAAATTGTACTTATTTCTCTTTTCAACTTGGCTTGAGTTTTATTCGATACAAAGTCCTGCAGGGTTGTATGTGGGTTTCATTTTATCATCATCATTACTACAACAGCGCCTTAATCCCAACTAGGTGGTGTTGGTGTCATTAAGTTTTTTGCTTAAATTTAATTATCAGTATAAATTCATGCAAAAAAGAGCAGCGACAATTTTTTTACGCCAGATGCCCTTTATCATAAGAAGGAACAATGAAACAAATATTCCAAAATATGGAGTTGTCATTATCATAGGTTATTTCCACATGCATGAAAAGTATCATTAGATGACATTACTTGAGATATTTGCTCTTGTCATGTCCATTACATAATTGAAGTTGCAGGACAACATGCAAATCATGTAGCATAAACAATGTGGGTTTCATATGGTTTTGTGTCTTTTACTTTTTATAAAAATGTACGGAGTATACATTTAAAACTCTTCACTTTGATGCATGATATAGAGGTCAAAGTAGCCGGTATTGATTTATAGATTGTCAGATTAATATATAGAGCTTTCTCTTCCCTAAAAAAAGAGCTTTCTCTTGAATGATGTTTGAGCTAGTGTCTGGGATTTACCTGAGTATTTTATTTACTTGTATATTTTTTATTCATTTATTCTGGAGCGGGCATCCCTGTGATTGATGTGTGTCTAAGTTTTTCCATAACTTGCAACTTTACCATGGTAAATGATTATATCTCATTGTGTTATACAGCAAATCTTTAACAACATCATGAATAGAGACATACCTTGGCCTAAGGTACCAGAAGAAATGAGCTTTGAAGCACATGATTTGATTAACAAGTACGTTATAATTGCTTAAATTCTTTTGTTAATGCTGGGATGCACTTCCTACACATTGTGTGTATGGGGTTTGTACGGACACTATCTTTTTTGTAGGTTGTTGTACGAAAACCCCAATCAAAGATTAGGTTCCACTGGGGCTGGAGAGGTTCGGAAGTTTCCCTAGTAATGCACTTTGGATATGATTTGACTTTAGAAGAATTACTTCAATTTCTTATGCCCTTCTTATACCTAGGTAAAACAACATCATTTTTTTAAGAATATCAACTGGGACACACTGGCAAGGCGAAAGGTCTCTCTATCTCTCTCTCTCAAAATATACTTTGGTATGCTTAAAACCCGTAAAATGGTAGGGAAATGAAAAACTGCTAAGGAAACTGGATTTTTTGTCAAGGTCGGTTTACCTTGGAAAATCTGAAGGACAATCAGATTTGATTATAACTTTTTAAGATTTTATATATATTTAGAATTCTTTTTCTTTAGATATTTAAATACAATGGGTTTGTAAAGATATCCAAAAACAAAACACACATATCCAAAATTGTTAGCATATCAAGATGTTTGGTAAATATAATCTTGGAGTAGCATTTTGTCTAGCATTGTTTTCTTTTTCAGCATTCTGACAAAAACAACAATTTTGACCGGTCAGAAACTCAGAATGCTATCTGAAGAGTTTGGCAAAATGCTGCTTTGGAAATGCTTAATAAGATCAACATTTTGGCATTAGCATTTTAGTTTTACGGAGTAGCTTTTAGCATTCTGTCAAGTTGCCAAGCATGTTTTTAAAAACTTGTAATTACTACGGGGTAAGTGCTAGTCAAAACTTCTGTGTTAACAAGCTAAGTTCCAACCAGTTTTCAATTCCCTCCAAATTTTCTTTCCGTCTAAATTAATCATATATATTTACCTTCTCATATTCTTTTCCCATACTTGTTCCAAACAGCCCCCCAAGGGCTGAGGCTATTATATTATATATACTCAGGGCTAACATTCCTCGTATATTCATGCCTTTGTTAGGCTGCATTCATACCAGCTGCTGAACCACACGACACTAGTTATTTTATGAGTCGTTACATTTGGAACCCAGAAGGCGAAGATTCTAATGGTGGGTGTAGTGAGTTTGATGATACAAGTGAGGCTGGGAGTGTATCATGCAGCAGCAGTTCTTATCAGGATGAAGAGGTATATATAATCATGCTTGTTGGCCACACACATACACTCAATATCTGTACACACACAAACAATGAGTGTCTGTGTGTGTCTGCTTTTGGCTTGGTGTACACCAAGTGTACACCTTGGTGTATACCAAATGGGGTTCTCCAACTATTTTTCTAAATTCTTAGGTGAACCTAAGGTCCATGATAGAAGCCACACTCTACTTGTTGGCACCTTAGGTTTAGTTGTTGGGCCATTATAACATGTAATGTCCTGATATAATCAAATTATTCAAATATTCCCTCTCTCTAAACTATTTTCCACAAAACATGAGACTTGAGAAAATAAAAAATGTGTACTTGAAATCTATTAGAAGAGAGAAAATAGTATGAAGCGCATATAAGCGGAACCCAGTAAAATCCTACAAATCTAAGCCCGGAAAGGATGTGTGTATGCAAACCTTATCCCTACCTATTGAGGTAGAGAGACAATATAACATACTCCCTCTGTACCTAAAAGAACTTCTTGACTTCCTTTTCCCGTTGTCCTAAAAAAAGTTCTCATTTCATTTAGGGAAAGAAATTAAAATTTCATATTATTTCTCTCCTAAGCATAAGTTTTCACTATATAATTTCATTTTTTCTTAAAAAATGAAATTCCTAAAAGAAAATGAATGATCCTTTTGGAACAGAGGGAGTAAGTAGTACATACTATTCTTAAAAGAAAATGGATGATCCTTATAGATATATATAGACGAAAAAGAAAAGTGAGAAAATAAATTATGAACGCAACGAGTATATTTTGTGTAACTTTACATTATAGATACGTTGGGTTACATCATAAATCACACTACATTTCATTACATATTTACATGCAAATCACTACAGGCCTACATAATTACTGCTTAAATGTTGAAAGTTACTTCACATTGTGTGGCATTTTACTGTTCTACTCATTGAAACAGGGGGAAGAATTTGGATATTTTGCAGAGTTTGGTTCTGTGTCCCCCAACATGAAATATGCCTTCAATAATTTTTCATTTAAGGTCAGGATCTGCCAGCCCAAATTACTGTTAACTTTTCATCTTCTGAGATTTTTTTATTTTTTACTACGTATTTTTATCTTTTTTTCCCTCAGAACTTGTCACAACTGGCTTCCATCAACTATGATTTGGTTGTAAAGGGGTGTAAAGAATCAACTGAAGTTACCAAGAAGCCATCCACTGCATAATAGTACTGAACTTGAACAAATGAAGAGAGTCAAGAGACCCCTCTTTTTTGCCTAATAAGTTTGGAAGAAACAGAGAATTTCAGGCTAACTGTGGTGAGGATTTTCCCCTCATTTTGCTGTTAGCCTTTTGAATACAAATTTTGTATTTTATTGTACAAAATTCAACCAAATGTAGTCTCTGATCATAAGAATTGTTAGTTTTAGCACAACAATGTTTAAACTTGCATTTCGAAATAAAATTACTTATATTTTTTTCGCACAAATAGAAGTACTAACCATAATTTTAATATAAATCATAGTTAAAATTAATAAGGGGATATAGGGTATGAAATGAGGACCAAAATAGTTACACACTCAAAGAGGTTGTGGACAAAGGGATAATTTTGTCTAATCCCATGGGGTGTATGGGTTATGCAGCCTTAATGAAAAATAAAGAGAGATTATTTTACCCTTGATCTTCCCATAATACCCCATACCCTAAACAAAAAGTGGGTATATTCAAATCAATGAATAGTGTAAATTAGGAATAGATGTGTCTTTTTTAAGGACATGGAGATGAGTTTGTGGGACACCAAAATAAAGAAAAAGGAAAGAGTTTTTAGGACAGAGAGTATCATTTACTCCCTCCGTCCCCCTGTATTTGTCCACATTTGACTTTCGGAACTGTTCATTTAAGCACTTTGACTCATCAAATTCTCTCAATGTGTAAGCCTAAATATAATCATGTGTGATCTTGTTTAATTTGTCTTAACATATAGATTATTAATATATAATTTTTATAATTTTTTAATATACAAATTACAAGATAAAATGGATTAAAGAAGTGCATTGGATGGTGTGTAAAAATGAAAGTGGACAAATACAGGGGGACGGAGGGAGTATGGAGTACTTCACACAATTTTACTTTTCTTTTTTAAACGTGTTGCTTATTCTTTTTCACTAAACATGTACTCCGTAGCTTACATAAACTTATACTTTTTCATAGGAAAATGCTTGGAGAACCCACTTGATGGAGTGTACACCAAGGCAGAAATAGACATACACAAACATTCAATGTCCGTAAAACTTTTGTTAGAATTGAACTCACAAAAGTCAAATGTATAACCATTTTTGGGAGTGGGGCCACCCTAAAACGAAGCAATAAAGTCAAAATGGAACCAATCTCTAAACGTAGGCATTATGTTTGTAGTTGATAGAGATTTAAAACTTAGAAGCGTGGCATAGCTTATGGAGGCATTGCATGCACAAGTGTAAGAGATTTATTCCTTCACTCAACTTGCATGTTTACATATTAATGAGCCTATGTAGTGTAGAAGTGTTGAATTGTGAATTTATGAAACCTAATTGCAACTTTGTTTTTTTCCTCCACATTTCCTATTTCTTGAAGTAACCTCCCTTGTAGCTATTAACCACTACCATTTCATCTCATCACACCTCATGTTCTCATTTAAAGTATTTTGATTACTATTAAGCAAAACATTTGCTTTTATAAAATTGTTACATTCAAGGAAAGTTTTTATATGATTTCTTTATTATGAGACCAAAATATACTGATATTGAATATATTTATGTGAGCAAGGCGTTCTGAATTGTGAGGCATATAGTCATTCATATCTTCAATCACATTCTGTCAAGTTTGTTACTAATCAACTCATCGATTCCGTCTTGAAATAATCTCCCTAGTGGCTAGGGATGGCAACGGGTCGGGTTCGAGTCGGATAGTACTATACCCGAACCCGACCCGACTTTTAAAACCGAAATCCGAACCCGGCCTGAAACCCGATATTTTAAGTCAAAAACCCAACCCAACCCGAACCCGGCATTTCAATCCAAAACCCGAACCCGACCCGAACCCGACCCGAACCCGACTTTTAACCAATAATCAATTCGACGTACTCCAATAATTTTAAAAGGATTAAATCTAATTTTTTTGTGTCTCTTTTTTGTGTCTCATTTTTTATTAAGAATTATAAAAAATGATTAAAAAACCATACTTGATTTAGTAGCACTTTGTCAAGAGATTATACGAAGTGCTAATTATATCCATAGATAGGCTTTTATGTTATTAAACATTCGGGTTTGAGTCGGGTCGGGTGCGGGTAAAATTATAAATCCACACCCGACCCGACCCGATGTCGGGTTCGGGTAAAAAATTTCGGGTCGGGTTCGGATGATTTTATTCTCGGTTCGGGTTCGGATATTTTAGTGTTCGGTTGGGTCGGTTAAGCTCGGGTTCGGGTTGAATTGCCATCCCTACTAGTGGCGAAGGTAATTTTGCATGGAGGTACTATTGTACTTTGAAATACAGAGACCATCTTTGTTGGAACTGTCTTAGATTCATTAACTAGCTACAATTTCCTCAAGAGAGAGGGAGGGGGTGGGGGGGGGGGGGG